TGGTCGTTACAAACGGGCGAAGCGGAAGGCTTGAAATCACAGTTTACCGTAGTCTTCTTCGTCCATGACCCGAATGAGTGCTTTTCGGATCTGTCGGTTCTGCTTTTACATACACACACCAAAGAAAGGGCCCCATCACTGCTTATTAGATAGAGCGCAAGTAGTCTCCACAGAGGCGAGAAAGAAACAAAAAGCTAGAAGTAAAAGTAAGCTTCCAGCTCTGGAGGTTCGTGTGACACGAGGGCCCAAGACTGGTCGTCCTCCATCCATATCTTGCAATTGCGCGGCACGAAGCGCTCAAGTTATGGTCCTTCACTGACAGAAGAAGAAAAGAATAAGGGAAAAGAAGAGGGAGGGAAAAAAAAAAAAAAAAAAGAGAGAGAGAGAGAGAGAGAGAGAGAGAGAGAGACAGAGAGAGAGCGAGAGCCCAAGCAGGGACGCAGACTGGTCAAGCTGATACCCCTCCAAGGGCGAGAGCAGTGACTGGTGCTGAAGGAACATCAGCAACTGTACCTATGCCCCGCATGCATCTGAGATCATCAGAATTTTTGACAGCAGGGGGTTGACTCATGCCCCGCCTTTCACGTGCCCCAGCCGCCCAAACGCCTGTCACCCGACGATCCGTGCTCGGAGTTCCTGCCGGGGTTTGCGCCCAAAAGTGCCAGCTCCAAACCCAGCCAGCCAACCAACCAGCCAGCTGCCGTCCAGGCGGGATCCATCCAGGGCACCTGCAGTTTTCTTTTTCGGATGACGCAAAAACATTCCCTCCGACGACGGCTGGGACCCACCTCAACCTAACATTGAAGCACCGCTTGACAACGCCGTCGCCCACAGGAGCAGAGGTGACCAGGGTGGACCTACGATGATGATGGCTTGATCGAACACCACTCTACCTACCCACCACACTCCAGCTCGTATCTCAGCAGCGAAACGAGGCAGAATCGCAAGGCTACTGCCATCAAACTAGACACGACCGACACGCACGCTCCCACCTCGATGATGCTTTTTGGCGCCCTCGCATAAGCTCTTGCTTGTTCTTTTCGCATTTTCTCCCCTGGCCCATAATCGATGGACTGGGACTGGTCCGAATGCAATAATTCTCAAATACCAATGCCAACCAGATAACGAGGGGAAAAATCATGGAAAACCTCACAATCTCCGACGCCCCTGCACAGGGGGCCCAATCCGCTCTCGGCGGCCGCGCACCGCCCCCTCCCCAACAGACTCAACTCCCGCCGCAGATGTTCACCACCGCCGCCCAGTTGCTGGATCTTACTGACAGTAAGGCAAAACACGCGACTGCCGTTGCCTGCTTGGCTTGAGGCAGGCGCAATTGACGTAGCTGGCTAACGCCAGACTGTAGAAAAGCTTATGGTCGCCCTCCGTGACGGTCGCAAACTGATCGGTGTCCTTCGCAGCTGGGATCAGTTCGGTATGTGCATCGCATACAGATGCGTGGCATAGGCGCCATGACTGACACTCTCCGCGTCACCAGCAAACCTCGTCCTTCAAGACACCATCGAACGTGTCTTTGCCCATCCTGATCCGGAGGCGAACCCACCCCGCCCATCGGGGCTCTTTGCCGACATAAAGAGAGGCATCTTCCTCGTTCGCGGCGAGAATGTGCTCCTTCTGGGCGAGATCGACCTTGACAAGGACGACGACCCGCCACCGGGCTACGAGCCGGCTGACCTTAAGCTGGTGCACAAGCTGGCCGCTGAGAAGAAGGAGCAAGACAAGGCGCGTGACAAGAGTCGCATCAAGAAGTTGAGCAAGCTAGGCTTCGAAGGCGAGAATATGGGCGAAATTCTGCTCTGAGCTCTGCTCTACCGCACCGGAGCTTCTTGTACTCTGCAGCCCTTGGAATGATCAAATGGCAAAACGCCTGAATGCGCATTAGGGAGTGAATATCAACTTGAAAGACGAGAGGATGGAAAGGCGGAGTTTCAGGTGCTGGTGGGATGAGCGCCAGGATACGGCGTACCGGCACCCCTTCATATTTGTCGTTCGACGCCGCAGCAAACGGCTGGTTGGATGGGGAGCAGAATATTGTGAAATGCTCGCCATCCTGGGTCTGGTTGTTATGACGGACGCCAGCATAGGGAAATCAAACATTTCGGATTCCAGCCAGTGTTTTATCAATAAGTGGATTGTCCCGTGCAATAGCTTTGGTCGACTTTGACATTGTATCTGAGCTTACCTACGCTGAAAGGGACAGTAGGAGAGGCGAGTTGGTCATGCAGACTTGGTGGAGAGTTCAACTTGAGAGGATGTCTAACTTTATAAATCTCTAGGCTAACCATCCTGATTCATCTACAAACCCGGCACGAAACCTTCTACGACAACATTCCAACTTTCCGGAAAGTGTGGGCCTTCAGCATCGTCCCAGCCGCCCGCCATCATAGCCATTGCTAAGAGCAAACTGCTTGAGCTAGGGAAATATGGCGTGGGCACTCTAGTCCCTCCGACGGGGTAACCCGCATCGTCGAACTGGAAAGTCGAGTGCAAAAGATACTCAGCCGCTCGTTGCGAGTCACCCAACCGCAGGCTGTTCATCGCAAGCATGGGGAAATCCCAGCCGAAAGACTCGTCGAGATCCCAAAGATCCCAGATCTTGGCGGCTGTGTTTTCCAGAGTGGTCCGGTTCAAAGCAGGGCCTGATCTTGGTGGTGGGAGGAGGCCGAAAATACCCGACATTGCTGGGTGGTCTTGTACAGTGGATATGTTGGTCCACATTCCCTGAATGCCTTCGTAGACAGGGTATGTGTCATCAATAATGGGTAGAGGTGCTAACTTGTCTCTGACATTTTCCCAAGTGCTAGGGGCCTGCTCCCCAAGACGAGATTTCCAGGACAACGCGATATCGAGCCCGAAGCGCCAGTATGCCAGCTCAAACGTAGGGTTAACTGTGGCATTTGGATTTGTGTTCTCCGAGACGGGGTACATTGGCGGCCCCAGGTCATACACTCCAGTCGACTCGTTGAAGAAGGCAAAGGATGCCATGAAGTCAGCCGTTGCTGTCAAGATCTCGTTCCACTTCTCCAGGGTCTCCGTGGTTGGCGCGTGGCGGTACTCCATCTCGGCGAAGTACATTGGGTGAGGCTGCTGCCAGATGAGGAGGGTGTTGATCTCACCCGGGGCATCGATAGTCGAGGGGTCTGTCATCTTGCCCCAGCGGGCACCAGCATACCCTTGCGTCAAGGCGCGGGAGACCGAGGAAGGGAGGAGACGTGTATAGGTTTGGGGCAGAGAGCGGGATAGAAGAGGGAAGTGGTTCCAACGGGCGAACTGGAGGTTGTGCCAGAGGACCATCTCCATGTGAAACTTGCCGAACCAGCCGTTATTAACGAGGCCAGATTCCTGCGGAGGGTAGTTCGATGCCGAGTTGACAGCTACCAGATACTGGGACTGGATCGTCCGCCTCTGGAGCTCGGTTGCGTTTGCGTTTGCGGTGGCGGTCATGTCGATGAAGGCGCCACTAGACCAGTATGTCGGCCACCAAATTTGGGACGCTTTCGCAATCTCGTCGAAGCTGGGTTGGCTTGCTAGCTTGGAAGGTGCGAAGTTCGCCGTGAAGCGGAGCTTGTCAGTACCACTTGCGGACAAGACATACCGATGGCTCCCGTCGGTTGGTGATGCCAACTTGCCATCACCTCTACCGCTATCCCATCCAAGACGCAGGTCGTATTCTGCGGTGGCCAGGTTATGGTGAATCGTAGCATAGCTCTTTCCACATTCCCCGAGAGTGGTCGTGTGTTGGTCGGTCAAGTTGAATGCACCTACGAAGGGCGCCCCAAACTTGTCGTTCGTCGGATAGGGAAAGTCGAAAAAGATGGCCAAATCTCCGGATGACAGAAGCTTTGATTCAACGGCCACAGCGACGGTGTCAGAGTTAGGATCGGCCCAGGTTTCGACCTTGACAGAAGCGTTCTTGTGTGTGAAACTCGAGTGAATAACACCCGACCACATATCGAGGGTCTGTTCCTTGTCGCCCAGCATGCTCTCCGTGACCGTGGTGATGTTCCCGCCGTTGAAAGAGAAGCCGATTGTGCCAAGGTTGATTCGATGAGGGTTCTCGCGGAGCCAGTCGGCAATCTCACTGTTTGTCGGGTTGGCCATGTTGTACTGGACGAGCCGGCCATGGGTCCACCACTCAGTGCCATGGTAGTCTGCGAAGGTAATCAGTGTCTGGTTCCTAGAGGTCAATATCTTCAGCGAACGAACCATCGATTGACGTCTGACCCGGAGCTGTGGGCAAGCTGAAGTTATGCCATCCCCACGTTGACATAGTCGCGAAGGGACTGAAGGTTTGGAGGCCAGTGATGTCGGCCCCGAATGCAAAGTTGCCATTGCCTACCTGCAGCGGCGTCTCAGGAGAACTGGCAGTACGGCGAGGATTGAAAGCCTGAACGACCCTCTGCCGGTCTATCCTGGCCTCAACCAGGGTACATAGTAGTGGCACGATGTCTAAGGCACGCATGGCGACAGACAACTCCCAGAACTTCCAAGTACAGCTTCCAAAACTTGTTGAGAGCTAGAGATCTATTAGACACCACAACGGGTCTGATAACTATTTGTAAACTAACTCGCGTTGTCGTCTCCGGATTTCCGTCTGCGCGGGGAAGGCCTGCCACGACCAGAACCCTGGGAGATCGACACCCAACCCATGACGACTAATGGTTGGGGTCACGAGCATTTCTAGCCTCTGTCTGGAGCTTCCTTCGTAAAATGAACAATCTCGGGCATTTCTCAACCGAAGACACCCAAGTGTAGTTGCAAAGCAGACCGGCATTACCTGGACCCAGAGGGAGGGATAAAGAGGGGAAACAGGAACAGAGAGTGCGGGGATGACTTGTTCCCCACTTTGTATTGAGGCTATTCAAATGAGCGGCCGGTAGAACTCATTAGGGGGCTGAGCGTGATGGATTTGCATGGATAGACACGAGTAAGGACCCGGTCTGCAAAGCTTTGGATTTTCAACCGGAGTGACGCCGTAAAGCATGGCTCGACACGAAAAACGGATCGGCTCCCGAACGATTGGATTTGGGAGAATGGGTCTTACAGCTGCGAAGTACTCCGTATCCGTAGCTGGGACCGCGTCCGGCTGTCCGTCATTGCGGAACAGCAACGGAGATGGCCCCGTGCTCTAGCCACAGAGACAAGGGGGAATGTGGCTGAAGTACCCATAAAGCCGGCCCTTGCAGCCCAGCAACCACACCGATTGGGCAAGCGCATAAACACCACCAACACAATAGGCAGGAAGGACCCTTTGACCAGCACCTTACCGATATCCCAAAACAACAACCTGCACCGCATCTCTTGCTTAACCTGCAACCTTTGCGATCCCAGGTTGATCTTCAGCCCCAACATTACATTTTCCCACCGACCGGACCCCTACATCCACCACATAAGTCCGCCGACGTCAGCAGGTATGCATGCTCCAAACAACATCTCGGCGTACATCTTGTGGATTCTATTTGTTCCATTACCCCGCTAACCGTTGGAATGGAATGCAGGATCCCAAACGAAACGACGACAGTATTAAAACGCATCCAAACTCTCAAGCGCTTCTCGACAAGCCGCAAACATGAGCGCGGTGCCGGGAATGACAGTGTCAGTACCACCAGAACAGCGGCCCCGATGATGTCCCTTTTGCAGTACCTCAGCGTGAGGACTGGGTTGCTGGCGGGAGGCATTCCATCGCTGCCGATGCCTTCGCCCCCGCCAGCGGCACCAGACCCTCTGCGCAGCAATGCTGTCACTCGCGACGTGACCGTCATCAAGACGTATGAACCCGAAGTTATTGAGACAAGCGCTGACGACGACTGCGACGGGAACAGTAAGGCCGGTAGGAACCAGTTCCGTGCGCGCACTGTCAAGGGAGGCAACAATGGTGTTGCGCTGCGACAGTATGCCGAAGCGACCCTGGGAGGAGGAAGTCTGAGGAAGGTCGTGAAGCTGCCGGAGGGCGAGGACGAGAACGAGTGGTTGGCGGTAAACAGTAAGGGATCCCAGGCGTTGAAAGACAGCAGCGGCGTACCGTTCTGGCTGACGTTTACGATGCATAGTGGTCGACTTTTACAACCAGATCAATCTCCTCTACGGCGCCATCACCGAGTTTTGCTCACCCAAGTCGTGCCCCGAGATGAAGGCAACGGACGAATTCGAGTATCTGTGGCAGGATAGTGACCAGTATAAGAAACCAACCCACATGTCAGCCCCGGACTACATTGAGCACCTCATGACCTGGGTGCAAAGCACCATCGACAACGAGACGATGATGCCGAGCAGGATTGGTACGTATACTCCCCCCTGCATGCGAGGACGTGGTATTGACAGCAAGGCTCAGGCGTTCCCTTCCCCAAGAACTTCCCGTCGCACGTTCGACAAATCTTCAAGCGCATGTACCGAGTCTACGCCCACGTCTACTGCCACCACTACAGCATCATCAGAGAGCTCGGTCTTGAGCCCCATCTCAACACGAGCTTCAAGCAGTACGTGCTGTTTGTCGACGAGCACAAGCTCGCGAGCGGCAAGGATTTTTACGGGCCTTTGAACGACCTTGCCGAAAAGATGATTGAGAGCGATTGAGCGCAGTAATGACGATGTTTGCGCCGATGAGTAAACTGCATTGTCTAGGCGTTGGGGATAACAGGGACGCGGGCTGGCTTGCAATGAGGGAAGTGCTAATGACTGGGCGCGTTGGGCTTTGAGACCGTTGCAGCGCCCCGAGACGGGGCGTCGTAGCGACATATGTGATATTACTGTAGATTACGCACAGGGTTACGGACGACTCGGCTATGGGTTTGAGAATTCGAGCATTAGACATGACCAACTCTGTTTTCGCGCGTTTGGCCACGGGCGAATGTGTCGCCAAGGACTCATGGTTCATCTCAATTCGTATCGACGCTTACAGGGAACTCAATTGGTGTGGGGCTTGCGTCTGTTTAGGCTCCGTGCTGTTGGTGCCTGTAACGTAATGACGGGACACAGCACGGAATGGAATTCCAGCTCCGATTTCCACCGACCCGACCACCCTGGAGACCCAGCTTACCTAAGTTGATGCCTCACAGCAACAGCGCACGACACAGCGCCAGCCCCAAGGCATCAACATCCCAAATTGCCGAAGTTCAAACCTCAACCTCGAAAACCGACAGCTACCACCACTGCTCCTCAAATCAGCAGCATCCCTCCCTCCCCGCCTCGACGCCCCCCCCGTCCGACTCCCATCAAACGAACACTCCCACCCGAACGTTCACCATGTTCTCGAGATCGGCTACCCGCGCAGTTCGTGCGGCGGCTCCCGCGTCGCGCCTCGTTGCTCCCCGTGTCCCGGCCGTCCGAACCTACGCCGCTGCCGCTGCTGCCACCGAGAACGTCAAGCCCCCCGTCGCCGTCTTTGGCCTCGATGGCACCTACGCCACTGCCCTGGTACGAACATCCTGTTGTCATGTTTTTCCTGGCTCAATTGGGTCCTGTCATTCAATTGAAGCAGCTCGAAACATCGAGGGGTCCCCTCCGATGAAGGAAGCGAAATGGAGGGATAAAAAAAAAGTTGGATAACAATCGAGCGAAACAATCGCTAACTGCGTTCACTTACCACAGTACACCGCCGCTGTCAAGACCTCCGCCCTCGACCCCACGGCCAAGGCTCTGTCCAGTCTCGAGGCCCTCGTCAGCAAGGATGCCAAGCTGTCCACCATCCTGGCCGCGCCTACCCTGAGCGCCGAGGACAAGACCGCCATCGTCGCCGAGCTCACCAAGCAGGCCGGCGCCGGCTCCCAGGAGACCGTCAAGAACTTCCTTGCCGCCCTCGCCGAGAACAACCGCCTCGGCCTTCTCCCCGGTGTCTGCCAGAAGTTCGGCGAGATCATGAGCGCTGCTCGTGGTGAGGTTGAGCTTATTGTCACCAGCGCTACGGTACGTCTCACACCATGCTGAGGGAATGTTGCATTGTGTTTTCTGCTTTGGGGAGGGCATGAGCATTCAGTGAATCAAGAAAGCGAAGCTTGACTGAGGATTTGGCGGCGGAACTTTCTCGACGAACAGAAATACCGCGCATATGTGCGGTTCTCATCAAGCAGATTTCAGAGCGGATGATGACTTACACGAAAATTGCGACTGACATCATGGCAGCAACTCGACAACAAGACTCTCAACAGACTGGAGTCTGCCATCACCAAGTCCTCCTACGTCGGCCAGGGCAAGAAGCTCAAGGTCACCAACCAGGTACGTCACTTCACCTCGGCCGAGTCCCCGAGATCACCTCGGACCGGGCGAAGCTCTGCGCCCTGCGCAACATGGACTGACACAATATCCAGGTCAACCCCGAGATCGTCGGTGGCCTCATTGTTGAGGTCGGCGACCGTACCATTGACCTTAGCGTCTCCTCCAAGATCGCCAAGCTCAACAAGCTCCTTACCGACACTTTGTAAAACAGTTCTTACCATAACAAAACCATCAAGCCCCTCCCTTTTTTATGAGAGAAGAGAAGAGTAAAAGATGAAGCAACCGACTAGCATATCTCCATGACTCATCTAATCCCCTTCCCACACCTCCCCGCCGAACTGATTTCTCTTTGTGTGTGTTTCTTGTAAACTTTGGCCATGGGGTGGGAGGTGGCTTGTGAAAGGGGGGAAAAGGGGGAAACGGGAAATGTTTCTTCTGAAAAGACGTCATCTTCCTGTAGAGACTGTCGTTGGGTCCTTCGACCTCGACTGGGTGAGAGAGAGATGGGAGGGATCCTATTCCAGGCCATGAGACGAGCTGTGCATAGTCTACAATAGAAGCATTCACGGTACTCTGATCTTGGTGATATGATCTAGACTGCGAGTCAAGCGAGTAGACGTCGTGTTTGTGTAGGTAGCGTGAGTAGCTGGTGAATGACACCAGTGACACCCATGCACTACGAACCCGCTGCTGTCTACCGATAAGGACTACATAAGCGTTCTCGCAGGTTGACACGATGGTGTGGCACGATGACCAATAGTCGCGTTCAACAACATTGGGGCGTTCCTCGACTTGGTCCCTCGGACACAGTTCCAATGACCCTGGTTTGTCAATTCTCATTTAAAACCAGACTTTCGTTCAGACAAGGAGTCATCAAAGGCCGAGGGCACATGTGGTATTCTCGTTTGGTCGTCACAAAAGAAAAATGCCCGCTTTTGATCAAGCCCGACTACGAGTTGGTTCAAGATGCTGCGCATGTTGCGGGCCGAGTCTTGTCCCGCTGGGGTAAAGTCGCCTTTGGATACAGAGAGCCTACTTAGTGATGAACGTATGGCATCAGCTAGAGGGCGGAAAGGGGGCCTAGAAAGGTAGAAAGGAGAGACTAAAAGTGGAATACAGGAGGGGTGGTGAGAAGAGCTCGAGCAAGTTAAAAGACAAAAGCTCAGGTGCGGACTCGAACCGCAGACCCTACGAAACCAGCAATCGGATTTCATACCAAGTTCAAACTAACGACTCACAGCGTTATACCTCTGGGCCACTTGGCCCTTCATCAGGCTTGGTTGACGGTGACGAGGCAACAGGTTGGATAAGAGGGAAGGAGGAGGGGGGAGGGAGGGGTTGATGCGTTGAGGGGAGGTAAGGCAGGCAGGCAGGCAGGCGGGTGAGAGAACGACCTTGAATTGGGAAGGCAGAGAGGCTGGCTTCTTGAGTGATTCACGCACAAAGAACCATACCGAGACGAGCCAGGTCTGGGCGACAAAAACAGAAGATGAGCTGGACTCTCCGTGTACTTATTAGAAGCCTGAAAAAATTGAAATCTATCTGTTCCACATTCTAACAGTTCTGTCTGTGGCTCTATATGCACTGACGGCAGTAATATTCGGATTCGTAACCAAGGGAAGTTTCCCGCATGCAATCTCTATTCTTCTGAAGCCCCCCTCCCATGCTCTCTCACATAATTGTTTTCTCGCCCGGTACTTCGGTCGCCATTACATTTCAAACCATTCTCTCGCTCTCTCACACTCGGATAAGCATCGAACGATGATTATACTAACCAGATAGGACGATACTTACAGGTCACATAAATCACTTAGGCTCTGGTCTCGTACTCGTCGCCGCCGTTGACATACTCCTTATCCTCCTTGTCATCCTTGTAGCGCTGGAGCTGATCTGAGATGTAGCGATGCATGTGCGCGTCCGCCTCCGAGCGCTCCCTCATCCTCTCGCGCAGCTTGTCCGGATCCTCCAAAGTGACCGAGTTGCCGAGCGAATCGTCGCCGCCGTCCTGTCCGTTCATCTCGGAGTCGAAGTCGCTACGTGCGCCGATGGAGCGTGCGGTAGAAGATCTGCGCATGCGTGGCTTGCCGTTAGGTCCCGGGGTGCCTGGGGCGGTAGAGTCGCGGCGCTTGATCGAGCGAGTGAGGATATCGTCGAAGTAGTGCGACATGCCAGCAGAAGGAGTGCGGGGAGTCTGTGGAAGGCGGCAGGTGATGCTGTGATCGTTGTTAGCACGCATACAAGGAGAAAAGAACAAGCATCAAAACCAGGAAGCTTACCCAGTGTCGTGAATGATTTTGGCCATCAGGCCAGTCCAACCGCACTGGTGGGTGGCACCGAGACCACGGCCGGAGTCGCCGTCGAAGAACTCGTAGAACCAGAGGTAGTCCTTCCAGTAAGGGTCAAAATCAAGCAAGTCGTTTCCGGCGTTGATGCTGCGACGGCCGTCGTCGTTGAGAGACATCAAGTGCTGCAGACGGTGCTGGATCTCTCTCGAGACGTGGCCGAGATGCATGTAGTCGCCGCTGCCTGTGGGACACTCGACCTGGAACTCATGGCCGTAGAACAAATAGAAGCGCTGGAGGGACTCAACCAAGAGGAAATTGACACACAGCCAGATGGGTCCTCTCCAGTTGCTGTTGCCTCCGAATAAGCCACTGTCAGAATCGCCTGGTACGTATCCGACGGAGAAGGTCTGCCCGTTGACGTCCATTGAGAAGGGATTCTTCTCGTGGAACTTGGAAAGAGACCGAATGCCGTGCTCGGAAAAGAATTCATCCTCGTCAAGCATGCGCTTGAGAATCTTCTCGAGCCTGTCCTTGCTCACGATAGACAGCAGGATTCTGTTGCCCTCGCCACGCTTAGCGATACTGGCCATGTTTCTCTCGGCCAAGTCACAGCGGTTCTCTATAAACCAATCCACTCTCTTCTTGAACGAGGGCAGCTTGTTAATCAGCTCAGGCTCCAGAGTCATGGTGGCGTAGAGTGGAATCAGGCCGACCAAAGATCGGACAGGGAGCTGCTGAATCCAGGGGCCACCCCAAGAAATGGCATCGTAGTAGAAGCCATCCTCGTCGTTCCACAGAGACTTCTCATCCTTCTGGCCAGTCCTGAAGGTCATGGCGTCACTGATGAAGATGAAGTGCTCAAAGAACTTGGACGCAATATCCTCGTAGGTGCGCCTGTGCTTGGCAAGCTCAAGGGCAATGTTCAGCATGCTGAGACAGTAGAAAGCCATCCAGCCGGTACTGTCGGCCTGCTCCAGGGAGCCGCCAGTCGGTAACGGCTCAGATCGGTTGAAGAGCCCGATGTTGTCGAGGCCGAGGAAGCCTCCCTCGAAGACGTTCTTGCCCTCGGCATCCTTG